TGAATTGAATACTGCTAAGTGTTGTGCTGAGAGAATTGATGGCGGATATACTGGATGAAGTGTTTGGATTGGTATATTGATTAATATTTGGTTGGAGTGATTTTATTATCAAATTCTGAAATTATACATCAAGTCTTGTTCATCGAGTAATGTTAAATAAACTTTCGTTACAAAAAACCGGTTGCTGTTTGTTGCATTGGTGACTGTTGCTGTATGATGTACTGCTGAACGGAATGAAGTGAAAGACTTGGCCATACAGAAGAATCGCTTCGCGACAACAGCCAAGACAATTAGACGAACATAGGTATATAATAGCTAAGATAACTAGGCTAACTAACCCAGGTATAACACTGCCAAGATAACTAGACTGACTTAAGTATATGACAGTCAAGACAATTAGTCCACTAACTCGTGTATATGATATCCAAGACGACTAGTCTAACTTATCTAGGTATATGACAGAAAAGACGACTAGACTAATCTAGGTATATGACAGCAAAGACAACTAGTCTAAATCTAACCATATTACAGCTAGAACAACTAGACTAACTAAAACAGGCCTATGAAAGTCAAGGAAATTGACTAACGTTCCTAGTTATGTGACAGCCAAAATCGACTGTAGTCCCTCCCCAGAGAAAATCAAACTCTCCTCCCCCCCCCCCTCTTAAGGAAGACATTTTTACAACAATGAAACGAAAATATATACGATAAAAACGAAATTCGGCACTTCTTTTTGGTGGGGGCGGAGGTTGTATATGTTAAGTTGATAATTTAATATTGACCACTAAATGATACATATATTTTACTTAAATTAATTACAATTATGAATAGAAAAGTATTTGAGTTAACTTTAAACTTATTATTGGTGTTTCTTTCTATTCATTCGCACGAGACTGAAGCCAATGCTCTTTTGTATGAAAAAGTTGTATTTGAGTTAAGAAACATTTTGGTTTAGTGTGCTATCTATATATATAATTCGCCAGCATAGGTCAAACACCACCAGGCAGGCTATATATAGATACGCCAGGGTGTGGTTAAATAATGAGTTCACTAGCGGGCAAAATATAATTCCCGATAACTACGATAAATGATACATATCTAATTTTAGTAACGCAATTGCGTTTGATGCGTAATATTTTCTTTTCGGAAATGAAATCGTCTCAATTTAAGTATTGTGTAAAAAATATTCAGTTTAAAAGTGGTTGGGACATGAGAATATGAATATAGTTCATGGTGGTTGGGGGGGGGGGGGGGCAATAACTTTAATGGGAAGTTCACGCATTGCTACCGCCAATGTTTGGCGGGCTATAACTAGTATTATTTTAACAAGGCACACAAACTATTGATAAATTATAACTTTTATTGAGTATTTATGCAACTTTTATTTTAACTAGCAAGTTTTAAAAATCAAATTTAACATTTTCATTTTATTTATCAAAATATATCTACAGAAACAAACTAATCTTACTTTTTCTTCTCCAGTCCGCTTCCATTAACTTTCAATAACTTTAGTAGATGGGAAGTTCACGCATTGCTACCGCCAATGTTTGGCGGGCTATAACTAGTATTATTTTAACAAGGCACACAAACTATTGATAAATTATAACTTTTATTGAGTATTTATGCAACTTTTATTTTAACTTGCAAGTTTTAAAAATCAAATTTAACATTTTCATTTTATTTATCAAAATATATCTACAGAAACAAACTAATCTTACTTTTTCTTCTCCAGTCCGCTTCCATTGGTGAGGCGTTGAGGGTATTATTTAACGATTAATACTATTTTAGTGCTTTACTGTAAGATAGAAATTACAATCTCAAGAACAGATTATCGCTCTGTGCAGACCTCCGCCTTCTACTGCTAATGAGCTCAAAGACACCATGTTTCATGAAGACTTGGGAAGAATTTAGCCTCCATAAGCAATACGAATCTTCTCATCCTAGGTGATTTTAATTTTCACTGGGATAATCCAGATTGCAGACAAACACGTCTCCTTGCGCAATTATTTGACTCGGATGATTTAGTTCAGCATGTTTCTGAACCAACACATATGGATGTTCATATCTTAGACTTGATTTTATCAAAATCCTACAAAGCGGTATTAGTTAAGCCTGTATTTGTGAACGACCTTCTCTTGTCTGATCACTTCCTTGTGTAGTTTACATCAAATATGGCTAGGCCTGTTGCTCAGATAAAGAAAATTCAAGTGAGGTACTTAAAGAATATGAATTTAATTCTTTTTGGAACAGTCTTTCTTTGACTAAGTTTGTGAAATTACCAACTAATGATATTGAAAAACTAATCCTCCTCTACAATCAGACTCTCACTTCTCTTTTGAATACATACGTCCCAGTGTCAAAAAAGTTTGTTAGTGACAGATCTGATTCCCTTGGTTCACTCCCACGGTTTGGAAAGCTCAGTAGGTTAGTGGTCTAGCGGAGAGGCATTAGAAAAGAAGTGGTCGTGAAGTTAAAAAAAAGAAAATTCGGAAAGCAAGGAACAGTTTACCGTAAGGAATCAGGCACGCAAAGTCTGAGTATGTTCAGATTCTCAATAAGGTGGCAGGTACTAACTCTCGCAAGATGTTCTCTGTGTTAAGATATCAGCACCCCTTGTTTTGCATAATATGAGAAGCGAGCAAGCTGCAGTAAAACCGAGCACGTTATTCATTGACAAAATTGAAACAATCAGAAAGAGCTTAGGGGAATGTTTTGATTGGCTTGCAGTGGAGAATGTGGTCTGGTGGTTCACCTCTAGTGGAATTCTTTCCAGTTTCCGATGAAAAGTTGAGACTTTTCATCATGGCATCTTAACCTAAATCGTCCATTGTTGACCCCATCCCAACCAAGATTGTTTTGGACTGTCTGGAAGTCGTGCTTCTTGTATCGGTTAACATTGTGAATAGAAGCCTTCAGTCTGCCACTGTCCCACGTCTCTTCAAGGCGGCGGTCGTAAAGCCTCTGGAAATGACTGCAAGAATCTTCGCCCTCACTCCAACCTGCACTTTGTATCTAACTTCTTTAGGTAATTGTGTCACAGCAACATGTGCAGCATCTTAACGCTTATGACCTATGTGATAAATTTCAATTTGACTATCGACCTGGTCATAGCTGTGAGACAGCACTACTCCGTGTCATGAATGATATTCTTTGTAGTGCTGACCGCAGCGATCTGACACTATTGTTCCTGTTGGACCTCAGTGCTGCCTTTAATGTAATTGACCCTGAGCTTCTTCTATCAAGACTTCTGAATGAGGCGAGCAAATCTGGAACGGCACTTTACTGGTTTACTTCTTCTCTATCAGACAGGACTCAGCGTACTGTAGTGAATCATGCATCTTCCAAGGACACTTCACTTACATGTGGCGTACCGCAGGGCTCAGTTTTAGGATATATCCAGCTCTCCCTGTACACTAGTCAGTTTGGCAGACTTATTGAAAATTATGGTATATCCGCAAATACACCCACCCCCCTGATCATGAGGTCTGTGCATGCTGCTGTTGTTCAGGCTGTCGAGGACGCTGTCTTGTGATGAAAACATGGATGGCGGGCTTAAATTAAATGGCGATAAGGCAGAGGTAATTTTGTGTGGTTCTGAAATCTTCTTGTCCAACACTGTTAGAGATCTTGGCTTCTACACTGACAACTGACAGTAGACTCACTATGATTCCTCAAATCAGTTCTATGGTCAGGGCTTGTTTCTGTCATCTCTGCTCCTTGGATCAGCTGCGTCCTCAGCTTAATAAGAGAACAGCCAATGACGAAGTCGTCTCCCTAATCCCATCAAGATTGGATATCTGTAACAGCTGTCAGTGGGGTTTACCTCAAAATCAACTTCAGAGACTCCAGAAGGTACAAAATAATTCAGTGCACATTGTATCGCGGATAAATAAATTCCACCACATCACTCCAGTTCTTAAAGATCCCCACTGGCTTCCTGTGGGTGAGAGCATTAACCAAAAAATTCTGTCCATGGCGTACAGCTGCATGGAAGGCTCTGCACCTGATTATCTTAAAGAACTTATTTCCAAACATTTATCATTAAAGAGGCTGCGCTCGTCATCACAATCCGTACTAAATGTTCCCAGGGTGGATGGACACAAAAAGAAGTCATTCAAAGTGCACTTTTTTCAAGCAAAAGCGCCTAAATTATGGATCAGTTTGTCTCACTCATTGAGGGATATTAAAAATGATAAAAAAATCATTCAAAAGACATTTAAAGACACGTTTCTTTAAATAGAGTTTATGACATCAGGGGGCTTTGACAATGCTATAAATAGTAGAATATCATGAACACACGCGCTATACAAGTAATCAATCATCATCAACACATTTCTAATACTACATGTATTTTTTTTAACGAATAAAATATATAACAGTATTTTAACGATTGTGTGTTCAAATGCAAATAAAAAGTGCAAAAGTGTTTGATTTTAATAATGTTAATTTTTTAAAAAGAAAATTATTTTACTTTTTTTTTTAATTGTGGGGGGTGTGGGTTGATTGCAAGAGGTCTCGGGTTAGCTAAATTAAAATCCGGTCCAAATTAAGAATTTAAAAAAATATATAGTTTATATAGCCTATATATTAAAATATGAATAACTTATACTTACAATGTTACTTATTTCATTGTACGCAGTTCAAGTGGGTCAGTTAAATTTATTTTGCGTGTTGCTATTCACGAAGTAAGTTATAGTAAATACAGATGAAAAATATTTGGGGGTAAAAGGAGAGGGCGTTTTCCATTATTTCATTATACAATCATTATATGCAGAGAATAATGGAAAGATAAAACAATAAATGGTCCCGGAGTCACGTGACATTGTCCAAGATGGCGGTGTGAAATTGGGAGAGGTGAAAGAACTTAAGTGAAATGAATTGTTTAAATATCTAGAGCATTAAAAAAATTAGCATGAATTTAAAAAAAAAATACATATCATTTCTCTAAATTTGCATTGTATATATTTATATTTAGAGTTATATAAGCTAGCTTTACCTAATCTTGGGCAAATGCTCTAAACTTAAAAGTAGTAAGTAAACTGGTCTGACGACTGCCTGTGCGGTGTGCTTAGGACTGTGAATGAGAATACTACTCTTAAACTTACTATAGATTAGACTCTTCTAGTCAGTGGTGTAGCTAGGGTTGGTGTCACCCAGTGGGGTAAACTCATGGTGTCACCGCCTCCCCTTGTCTTCCACGACTGATGACTGATTTCTTCTTGTTAAATAATTTTACAGTATCACTAAGTTGAGTAAGACAGTTCAGTATAACTCAATGACAAGAAAAAATATAAATTAATTAATGGTTAGGAGTTAAATGTTAAATGTATTCAATCAATTTTAAACTTTAATTATAGTTATTTTGTTAATCTTGCAGTTCAGGTGCGTATATTTATGATCGAATTTGGTATTATCACATGTAATCTTACATGATGAATTCTTTATAAAATTTAGTCCAGACAGTATTCGTTAGCACTAACAATAAATTTTATTTTTTTTTATTTTTACACCCCCCATGGGTTCATGTAACATAGCCGATAGCATTAAAGATCTCTCCATTTTCTTGTTTTTATAAAATTCACCCTACATGCCAGATTGCAATTTTTCAACTGAGACTGAAGCATGTACACAAAAAACGAAACAAGAAATAAGATTTATAATAAATTGTACCAAAATTATTTATTGATGCTTAACTTTTCAAACTAAAAGCATGTTCACAAAATAAATTTATATAAAATTGGCATGTATATTTGCTAGTTTTAGGAAAAATTAAAATTATGAGTTCATTAAACTTCAGTACCGGTATTTTAATATGGATAATCAAGTGTATGTGTACTAAGTTTGAACTCGTTCCATTCACCCATGCAGGAGCCTTTGAATGGAATTATATTTATAAACTCCATTGAAGAAAAAAAAAGAATTTTGGGCCTCTATAACATAACGGAACATCTAATTAAGTTCAACCCCCCCCCCCCCCATGTTTCATTCTTTTTGTGAACATGCCTGCAATTTGAAAATTTCCTTTAGGATACCAACTTATAGGTGATCAAAAATTTGGCGGCAACAGGGTGAAAAAAAGAACAAAACAAAGCTTCAAACCTGTCAATCAGTTGAACAAAATCAATATTTCACAGATCACTTTCAAATGATAGTATAACCAGATTAGAAAGCCTTCTGTCCCATGGTGAATCTTATATAGTTCTTGATAAGCCTTAGTTTTGAAATGCTCCACTCACATGAAACCACAGACACTCAGATTATAAGAAACAATTGAATGCTTAGCGGGAGTTTCAGAAGAAATTCTAGGTAGTCCCATTGGGCTATAAAGTTCATCTTCTTATAACTCATCATAGAAAGAGATTAATTTTGGAATGGACACCAATAACTCTTTTTCCCTTGCTGATTGTAGACTCTTGGGCTTGGGTTGAACAGCCCCAAACATATCTGCTACTTCATTGATCACTGATGATCTGGGGGTTCAGAATGAAAGCAATCAATACACTCCAGTATCTCCTTACTGTTTACTTCTCACAGAGAGAGCCCAGCATCTATTAATTGTTCTTCTGCAATTCTCTCTTTAAATGTAAATCTTCTCTCTACCAAAATTCCACATTGGTTTGATTTTAAAAGTGACTTTTCAATAGCATGTTCCACCTAGGGACAGTGCTTCTCATGCAGGAACAATCTTAAGGCCTCTAGGTTGGTCACCACTTTATCATGAGTAAGCCTTTAGTCTGCAGGAGCTTCCTCAAGTATATCAACCCAAAGGTGATGGTAGCCAATAAATGTGAAACTGCAGACAAGCATGTAAAAGACATTGCGCTGTATGACAATAGTCCTCAAATATTAACTCTCTACAGGCCAATGGTTTTTTGTCCTTTTTTTTTATTAGGTCATCTCACATAATGGGATACCATAAAAAGAGTAGCCAATTAATTATTAATACCCATCATGTTATATATTTAATTGTTCAACATTTTTTCAGACAAACAACTTAGTGTACAAAGGATTAAAAAACCTATGACAGAAATAGTTTACTATTTATTGGAATTTAATTCTGCAATATAATATACAAAAATTTAAATATTCAATCTTAATAAACGTCTCAAAAGTTTAGGGTATTCACTAATACTCAATCAGTTTGTAGGTTTAGTTATAGAATCAATGAGTGTGTAGGTATAGTTATAGAATCAATGAACCTGTATGTCTAGTTATTCTGTAAACACTTTCCATTAATTGATCAGTCTGTTTACCCTTTAAAATTTATAAGACTGTTGTTATTAATATATTATAAGGGCAACAACCTTTTAAACACTTAAGTTTTAATAGAAACAAAGTTTAAATCAGTGTTTTGTTATTATAAAATCAATGCTTGCATTCATTGTTCAGTGTTTTACAACCAGTGTATTATCTATAATAATTAAAGAAAAAAAAATGTTAGTAGCTTTTACTTCAGATGGCTAAAAATATTTATGGTTCACACTGATAAAAAATATAATTATATTTTATATTCCAGGGATCAGGAAAAGAGGGCAATTCCTGCACTTTGAAGGTTAAAAAATAATTCACAGAAAGTTACAAAGCCATGGCCCTCAAATTGAGGACTTCCAAGTTTCGACATGTTTTTGGTGCACAATGTCGGCGGGAGAATACTTTTGAAAATGTGAGAATTACACGAAACACTCACGACAGCAATTTTTGTAGCGTCAACCCCCGATTTTTGGCCATTGTGACGGAAAGCTCAGGGGGTGGTAGTTTTGCTATTTTGGATGTACACAAGGTGAGATATGTAATTTACTGTGAAAAGCACATTATTAAAATAATCAATATTTACTGTGGTAAGAACATCAATGAAATAAAGGAATTTTTACTACGATAAGAACAAAATTAAATGAATTGATATGTTCAGTAAAAAGACATTTAATGAGTGAATATTTACTTTGAAAAAAAAACACAAAATGACAAATATTTACTGTCAGCTATCTAAGAGTCCAATTCAATTTTAGCCTGGTAGAGTTGACATAAACTGCCCTAAGGTGTGTGGTCATGCTGGAGCTGTGCTAGATGTTAAGTGGAACCCTTTCAATGACTGTGTTATTGCCTCAGGTTCTGATGATTGTTCAGTAAGTAGGTTTTTCTTATGTCATGTCTAACATTAGCTTTATCTTTTTTTTTTTTTTAAAACATATGATTACAGCATCATCTATTTGTAGTTTAATTTCAAACATATGATTTTTTTAGCAACCTCTGCTATTCAAATACAATGCAAAAAACAACAACCACATTTCAAAAATGTTATTTCCTCAGGTTCTGATGATTGTTCAGTAATTAGGTTTTTCTTATGTCATGTCTTACATTAGCTTTATCTTTTTTTTTTTTTTAAAACATATGATTACAGCATCATCTATTTGTAGTTTAATTTCAAACATATGATTTTTGTAGCAACCTCTGCTATTCAAATACAATGCAAAAAACAACAACCACATTTCAAAAGCTAAGTCTACATTTTTCATATGTTAACCCAATCCAGGCTTACCTCATTCCCCTCAGTTACAACTAAAAGCCTTAGGTGATGACCTTATGATGATCTTGAATCTTATGGGAGTTTTGTCTGATGCTACTTAAAGTGTAACCCGCTCCTGCTTAACTTATTCTCACCGGTTACAATTGAAGGCAAAGTTTAACCCACTCCTGCTTAACCCAGTTTCAACGGTTACAACTAAAGGCCTCTGATGATCTTATGATAATCTTATGGTAGTTTTTTCTGATGTGACCTAGAAGGCCCCGAAACATTATTTTACCTTAACTCTGCTTCAATAATTACATCTCAGTAACACTGCTAGTAATAATCACATCTAAGTAACAATGCTAGCAATAATCACATCTTAGTTACACTGTTAGAAATATTCAATCTTATATCACTGCTGGCAATAATCACATCTCAGTAACACTGCTAGCAATAATCATATGGAAGTGAGATTCTGGCTGACTTTTGCTGGAAGTATTTATCTTCATTTATATTTGATCAATACTTGGTTTGTATGGTTTGTCTTGTGTGTCATCATAAAGTGCATTTCAGGATACATGTGTCTTAAGTTTAAATAATTTTAAATTTAAGGACTTTAAAAAACAAAGTGTTTCTCAGAATATAATGTGTCATATGTGCCGGAAAAAACACCTTCGGAAAATAAATAAGGGAGAATTTAACAAAGATTCATTGAAACTTTTCATTTTGCTGTTACCATTAGGTCAAAGTCTGGACTATCCCAGAACCTGGACTTCTTGGTACCTTAACTGACTGGTCAGCTGACTTACATGGTCACTCACGAAGGGTTGCCTATGTTGACTGGCATACAACTGCAGCCAATGTTCTTATGTCTGTTGGGTTTGATTTTAAAGTAAGCATAATTTTACAATTTGCATCTAATATGTGTAAGCTAAAACTTATGATATCATATAATGATATATTCTTATAAACATATGCAATATTGTATATAATCATTCCGTAAAGAACCCAAAGACTTATCTGATTATAACATTTAATTATTTTTGTTAGATTCAGTTCAATGATATTATCATTTTTTCAATCGCACATTTATGTCACATTTAGTGATTGCTTGTTTCTGTATAGATTATGGTGTGGAATGTAGAACAAGCTGAACCCATCACCTCCCTTAGTTGTCACAACGATACAATCTACTCAGCTTGTTGGGGACGGGAGGGAAGTCTGATAGCCTCGACCAGCAAAGACAAGAAAATTCGTATCATGGACCCCCGCTTGGCCAAAGTTGCAGTGGTGAGAATTGTACAGTATAGTGTTTATTATGGTCAGACAGTAAGATAATAATAATGAGTCAATGGTGAGATAGAGTAAAACATAGATAAAAAATAATGGGTATTAAGATTTCAAATGAGGTCTTTGATTGACTAATGAATTGTTTGGGATTTTAAGATGAATTGGATGTTAGGAGTGATAGAGCTTATAAGTTTGATATTCCCCATAATTCTCTAGTGACAGGAGTGATAGAACTTATAAATATGATATCTCCTATAATTCTCTGACAGGAAATGGATGGTCATCAAAGCACCAAGACATCCAAAGTTGTGTTTGTGTCAGACAATCAAGTTTTCACCACTGGATTTTCACGTGTCAGCGACAGGCAGTATGCCTTATGGGATGTTGTAAGTTCTGTATCATAGATTCTCTGTTAATGTATTTTGTATATGCCATGCTTACAAGTAACGTGAGCTCTTTGGTTGTCATGCTAGAGTTATATGTAAGCTGCTGACGTGTTAGCAGGGGAATGCAAGGGGGAAGAGGATGCGAACATTAATAAATTAATCTTCTGGATAGAGAAAAAGTCTGGTATTCTTTTAAGAAATACTGACCACTTTAATCTGCTGGAACCAGCAAAAGCTGATCCTCTTATTTTGCCGACTGATTTGCTTAAATTTCTCTGCCCAGAGAAAGTCTGGTCCTCCGTTGAGCCTCACTGACTTGGACTGTTCCAGTGGTATCCTGCTACCTTACTTTGATATTGATACCAAAGTTGTTTACTTAGCTGGCAAGGTAAGTACTGTAAGGTAATAATCTACTTACCCAGACATGTTTACCCTGAAACTCTTAAAATCGTACACTAATAACAAAGTCGTTCAATACATCATCTTAATAGTAAAAAATAAACATACAGTATATATAATGAGCACACCTCAAAATTGTACATTGTACGCCAAAATGGTAAGAGTAAACAGGCCTGCTTACCTGACAACTATCTGATAGTTTTTTAGTCTTAAGTAATGTATTGGCTAAGATTTTTCTAAAATTCAACATTTATTGTTATGAATTACAATGTCAACTATTTCTCTTGTGGTGACTTTTCTGACTCTTATTTAGGGAGATGGCAACATCAGATACTTTGAAATTGACACTGAAGAAAATGAAATCTACTTTTTAAATACTTACCAGTCTGCCTTACCACAGCGGGGCCTGGGTAAGTATCCCAGATATTGTATAATTGTACATCAATGGACTGAGCATATATCCTATTTACTGAACCAGAGTTTGTAGACCTTGTACTTTTGATATAAAAACCAGAGTTTGTACACTATTTTGATATATCAAACGGGAGTTTGTAAACACTGTACCTTGATATACCAAACCAGAGTTTGTAGAGACTGTACCTGACCTGGTTACTCATATAATTTTGGTTTACAATGTAGGATTTTGAGATGCTGTGAGAGCAGGGTTGAAAAAAATACTCCAAGAATTATAATCATTTTAAAAAACAAACAAGCAAACCTTTTTCCGTTGTTAGTTTTCGCTGCTTTCTATATCTTGCAAGGAATAGGCGGAACAATATGATTGGTTGATGACCATCCATAATTATATTACTTAAACACTGATGTGGGAATGGGTGGGGGGGGGGGGTTTGTGTTGACTAAGGAGCTTATGGGGGTGGATGGGAGGGGTAAGTGGTAGGGGTCTAAATAATTTTAAAGGCTATAAAGTAAGAACGCGTTTTTCATAATGATGGTGATGATCATCATATTGTAGGGGGGGGGGGGGGGGGGGGGGGGGGGGGGGTTTGTGTTGACTAAGGAGCTTATGGGTGTGCATGGGAGGGGTAAGTGATAGGTGTCTAAATAATTTTAAAGGCTATAAAGTAAGACCGCGTTTTTCATAATGATGGTGATGATCATCATATTGTCACTTTGTGTTTTCACAATGAACCTGTTACATACGGCAACAGTAATATTTAATCAACATTCACATTTGTTACCTTCGATGCTGTATGATGCAAGTTTGGGAACCACGATTGCAAAAATAAAGAAAATAGCTCTATTTAAAAATTTTTATTAATGCATTCTCAACAGCGCCACACAGCATTAAATTAGCCATAATTTATAATATTTAGCAAGCAGCATTTGAACTCTATTTTCAGAAGTCACTGTATGATTTTAATACCCCACTTTGGTTCAAGCACTCCCTTCGTTTCTCCCAATACAGCTTTCTGTGGTTTTTAGACTATAATATGTTAACAGAAAATAAAATCAGGCTCCTAGGCTTAATGCCGGGATGGCCAACCCACCACGTTAAATATTGTGGCCTGCTGGATGCTTCTCAAATGAACTTACATGTTCATTCAAAAACATGATTATTAGACTATTTTCATTCTTGGCTAAATTGCAAATTAAAAATATATGCACATAATTTTTTATGACTGTATTTGCCATTTCGGTCTACCTGCCCCTTTTATGTTCTGATTCAAATAAAAGCCAGAGTTTTTAGAAACTGATATACCAGTAACATTTTTGATCAGCTAAGATTTGGAGTTCATAAATTAAAAATTTTCTCTTGGTCTGAGATTTTGAATGTCCATGTTAGTCATCATTGATGCCATCAGCCCATGCATAAAACTTTGCTGACTCGGTCAGCACTTAAAATATTGCTGACTCCTTAATCAAATTTGCTCCCTTTGATTTTTGTTTTTTTGGCATGTTTTTTAAAAATATTTTATGCATTTTTTTCACCCGTTTGTTTGACAAATGCTTTCACAGTGTACTGACATTCTTATAAAAAACAGAAGACAATACTGAGGTTTTTTTATGTAGGAAGCATAACAGGGAATACTGACATATTTTTTTTAGAAAACTCAAGAAAATACTGACATTAAAATAGGAAAAACTAAACAGAAATAATGGTGTATTTACTGTTTTGTTCTGAGAGTGTGGTGCTATTTAAAACTATTTTTAGTTGTTTTTTTTTACAATATCCTTAAGTAAGGCAGCACCCCTAATCTAAAGAATTAAATTGGGGGAAAATGTGTGACCTACTCTGAACAATTCAGTATATATGAAAAAATTGCCAAATTTAGACTGATTCTATTGAACAGTTAGTACATGGACAGTAAGTGGACAGTCACTTTGTTAGTACATGGACAGTAAGTGGACAGTCACTTTGTTAGTACATGGACAGTAAGTGGACAGTCAATTTGCAGTCAAAAGAACTTTTAAAGCAAATACATTAGCTCATCTTAGTTATACAAAATCAGTTAAGCTAAATGTTTGAGGCAATTCATCATATAAAATTATAAACCAACATAAACAATGTAAATTATTGGGATTCTGTATTGAAATGATTCTATTCATCCTATAGGAATGATGCCTAAAAGAGGTATTGATCCATTCAAAAATGAGGTGGCCAGGTTTTACAAGCTGCATGCCTCCAAAAATCTTGTTGAGCCAATATCTATGATTGTACCAAGAAAGGTGGGTTTGTGCAGAAGTTATCAAGTGTAAGATTGTTTCGGGTGCATGTCAGATGTCAGAAGTACACTTTGAAGCCCGATTGCTGGTTTAAATTTGTAACAATAAAGAAAAAAGCTATTGGCATTATCAATATTCTGAGAGTATAAACAAAAGTATTGGCTTAATGTGAACATTTAACTTAATAATAGTTTTAATTGGGTAGTTATCAATGACAACCAATGGTAAACCTAGATAAGCTACTGCAATGAAAAAAAATGACAGTGTCCATTTTCAGTCTAATCTCTACTATTATGTAATAAAGCATGTTATGTTCAAGACAGAACATCTAGTTAGTAACTCAGGAAAATGGATCTTGTTGTGTAATGTTTTAAAACTCACATTTTTTTTTTCAATTTATTAATGTGCATAGTTTGAACTTCAAAAATTGACTCTCAAATATATAAAAACTGTTACTCTGCCTTTTTTTCCCCTTGTCTGCAAATAATTATGTCCAGTTCTTCCAGCTAAATATTGTATGTCTTGCTCTGTGAGCTCAATTTTATTTATTTCACAGGCTGAAGGTTTCCAGCAAGACGTGTTCCCTCCAACTGCCAGCACGATTCCCTCCTTAACTGCAGATGAGTGGACCAGTGGTATCAACCGGGGGCCCATTTTGATTAATTTAGAGGTTTGTAATTCAAAAGGGGGCTGACTTAACTAATTTCATAGGCTTTGTATTGGTCTATTTCAGTGGTCGGCAACCATTTTTGAGTAAGGAGTCATTTCTAAAATTATATCTGCTAAGAAAATATTTAGGGAGGGGCATGCAAGGAAGGGAATGTGGGGGGGGGGGATGGATTTAGGAGAGTGAATGTACACAAGACACCATCACCAAGAGTAATATTTAAGTTCTAACTTTTTTCAATATTACTAAAATTATATCTGCTAAGAAAATATTTAGGGAGGGGCATGCAAGGAAGGGAATGTGGGGGGGGGGGGATGGATTTAGGAGAGTGAATGTACACAAGACACCATCACCATGAGTAATATTTAAGTTCTAACTTTTTTCAATATTAGTAACTATACTAAAATTCGTTCGCATTTTCCTTACAAATCGGCTGCAAATCGTTTCGACATACATATTTTTATAATGAGTATCCATGTCTATATGCTCAAGGGTACTTTTCTTGCTTTAATATTGCTATTAAGAAACTCTATTTTTTTCCATCTTACAGAATGGAACCATCCTGGACAAGCCAAGGTCATCAATGTCACCAGCTGTCCAACCCCAGGTAAACACATTTTATTTTACTGTGGTCAACAAAGTGATATTTTACTGTGGTCAACAAAATGTGAGCTTTGACACTGTCACATTTTGGGACAACTTATGGCATTTGACACAGTCATGTATTATGAAACTTGTGAAATTAGACTGTAATTTATTGGTGAAACTTGTGTGATTTGACACTGACCTACATTGTTGAAACTTATGCCATCTGACACAGTAATGGAAGTTAAAATAATAATGATCTTACAGAATGTTTTATAGAATTTTACTTGACATTTCACTTTTCTTTAGGTTGGTGCCCTCAGCAAGCCCCCACAGATCACCACTTATAAGGCTGTCAGTAGGACAACACACCCACCCTTTAACCCTGCCCCTAACCCCGCCCCCTTTTTTCAAGCTCCTCCCTCAGCAGTGAGAACCTCTCCTGAAGGTCAGGCACCTGTTGTGATGAGATCCCCGTCTGGCAAGATGCCGTCAGTCCTACAGCAATCCAACATCTGGAATGGGATGGACAAGTCCAAACAAGAACCAGCATCCATCAAGAACATCAGACGATTAAGTGCTCACAAAGATGAGGATTTCGAAAGGTAGTACATTAATTTATTTTTGGGGGGGGGGGCTAGAAAAATGTTTGCTAATCTGATAAGGTAAGCTGGACAGGTTAGCTGCTAAGGTAAACTGATGGGATGGGCTCTTGGGTAATCTGATATGGTAAGCTGGAAGAGTAATTTGGTATGGTAAGCTGATAAGGTAAAGCTGATAGCTTAAATGCTGATAGGGTAAAGCTGATGGGTTAAGTTGGTAGTGTAAACTGGTCGGGTGAGCTGTGATGCTAGGATAAGCTCAAAGAATAATCTATTGACATGGATGATAAAATGTGAGCATATGTGCATTGATATATGATACGTATATATAAGTGATTAAATATATTTAATAATATATTTGAGCATTTGTTCACATAGGTACATTTGTTTACATTAGTAAATTTGTTTACATTAGTACATTTTGTTTCCATTGGTGCATTTGTTAACATTGGTGCACATGTGCAGTAATTGATTGCTATAGATTTTTTATAGGAATGAAATTTTATTTGCTTACTATACATTATTGTAGTGTATTATTTAAAGGGATGTATTGTTATTTTACAGCATATTTTTCTTCATTATACCTTTAAAACTTAAATAAACATTTTGAAGGACTTATTAGATAAGGGTAGATAACTGCTACTTATGCACCACATATAATATTTTTTTAAAATGTAATTTCAGTGACTCCTCTGTATCCCCTGCTTCATCCATCTCCTCTGTCCAAAGTTCAGGGGCAGGTCGTAGTTTCAGGTCACCAGGGACACTATCTCTGGCCTCCCCAGCTGCCCCAACTTCACACCTCAATGGATTTACCAGTGAGCAGCCTGCAGTGGACCATGTATGTACATTAGTGTATCTCTATTTATGGCTGTCTCATCTCTGGGATGTCTCATTTTGTAGATTTCTTATCTCATTAATGTCTTTGACCTGTTTAGATTTGCTATAATATTTTTACATTCACAAAATCATCACATTTACATTATTGTCACATTCACATAATAATGAACTTCCTAAATGAAACTGTAAATATTAGTCACATGCGTGCCAAGTGATACAGTCTTAAAGCCTATTGGTCCACAGATAGCTATTTATTAAGTTAGGCTCCTATGATCTAGATCTAAAATCATCTTTAGAAACAAAGTTGCTTAAACAAAAATTTGAAGTAATAAATGGACATTCTACCTCTATTAAGATATCAACTTACAATTAATGTTGAAACGATCCCATCAATTTTAAAGTAAAATAAACATTGACATTTGTTGTTAAGGATTTCAAATAAATACAGATGTTATAAAAAGGGAAATGATTCTGGCCATTAAATACAAGTTTAAAATAAAAAAAAAGATGATAATTGAAAGTTATTATTTTTAATTTTCCATTTTTTGAATACAGGTTTTTATGTTTTGTACAAGGCTTGATTTGGCAGGTTGGCATGTAGACATTCAAATAAATTCTACACTAGATGTTACAGCATTACATACCAACCTGGGGAATAAAAAAATTGAACAAAAATACCCAATATAATAATAGTTTAATTAGTTTAAAATAAAAACGATGTATAAAGTGAGGGTAAATCATATTTCTTGGCATCTATGTGTTAACTTTCATATAATGATCACATTGACAATGTTAAAATAATAGCACAATGTAAGATGTTCAGCTCCTACCATTTGTTTATGTTCTTTTCTTGTAGTTAAGACATCCATTTCATTTTGTGTACTTCTTTCTTATGTTTGAAGCTTTTGTTCTTGAATTTTTTATTTGAATATCTTTGGATATTTTATTGGACTAATTTTATTCCTTGTGACCCACTTACTTATTCATCACAACCCACTTGTTCCATTTCTTTTGACCCACTTATTCCATTCTTTGTTATCCTCTTATTCCTTCATTGCTACCAACTTATTTTTTACAATTTATTTTTGCCAAGTTATTTTTGTTAATTTTTACCCCACTTATTGTGTCGATTATTTACCAAGTTATTCCATATTTTTTGTTCAATTACTTGATGCATTGGTTTGCTTTGTAGCACCGTTCTCTCTGTGTTCACCCTCTTAGCCTTTGGAATGTTTGCTTTATAACTATTCAATCATTTTAGTTAATTCTTTGTTTTTAAGAATTCAATTTGACTTGTTCATTCACTTACATGATATATAGTTTGCACTCCATATTATGACAGCTCATCTAATTTATGATCCTCGTGTAACAGCTCATCTGAATTTTTATTCTCTTGTCACAGCACACCAACATTTTCAGCATATTGTGACAGCTTATCTAAATTAACATCATATTTTGACAGCTTACCCAAGTTGAAATTCATCTTGTGGCTATTGTCCATAGTTATCCCTGAAGTTTTGTGACCTTGAATAAACCTGTCTTTTGACAGGTTACCTTTAATATAATCATTTTGTGAAAATTTTATTTTAAAACCATTCCAGCCTTATTTTCCACCAACCCCATATGGAAAACCCCAGGCCTATGAACTTTGACCTATTTATAACATATCTCTCTCTAACCAGCCATCCTCTTTCACAACTAAAACAACCTTAAGCACCTCCTCCGTGTTGCCACGCCCATCTTCACGTTACGCCCAGGTGAAGTTTGAACGTGGTTCTGTCCAGCAAAGGGCCAACACTATCGCCAGCAGTCAGAATGTTGAGCATGTTAGTGCCTTGAAGATGGTGATTGGTCAGCCAACAAGTACATCACAAACTCATGTAAGAAGGTTACTATCCAACCCCAACCAAAAGCCTAGTGTGTAGAACCATAATTAACCATTCAAAATTCAATTAAGAAACCATCAGATTATTTAGAAGGCAGTCAATTATGGTTAAAATTCATGTGTCACGTCATGGCTTATCATGAAGCTGATTCCTTAGATATGGAAATATGTTTATCATCAAATTTTAACTTAAAAATTGAAATAGACAATTCAAAAATTTAAATAAATAAGAACATTGTACATCTTTGGCTGGTCTCAAAAAGTTATTTCATTTCATTTATAAATAAATATTTCATATCATTGCCTGGTCACAAATATATATTTCATATCATTAGCTGGTAAAAAAATATTTACATTTTATATCATTGGCTGGCCTCATATATGCAATTCATATCTTTGGCTGCTCTGAAATAAACATTTAATATCATTGGGTGCTCACAAATAGCTTTATTACATCATGGGCTGGTCAGAAAATATTTACATTTCATATCATTGATTGGTCTCATATATAGATTTTATCTAAATGGCTGATCTCAAATAGAAATTTCATAATATTGACTGGTCACAAAAAGACATTTCATATTATTGGCTGGTCACAAAATATATACATATTATATCATTGGCTGGTAAATAAATTATACATTATCATATCATTGGCTGGTCTCAAATATATTTTTTCATATAATTCACCGGTCATAAATATATATTTGATGTAATTGGCTTGGCAAAAATACATATTTTATTCCATTGGGTGATATATAGTAGATATTGATGGGATGGTCAAAAATAAATATCTGATATTAGTGGCAGATCAAAAAATATTTGACATACATTTCTGAAATTTGCCTTACTACCGTTTCTGCTTTACACTTATGTATTTGCTTTACACCTTTGCATTTGCTTTACACTCCCTGTATGTGCTTTACACTCCTGCCACAGCCCCATGTGTTGGCAATATTCTAATGCATCCACTTCCATGGGCGCCCGCAGAAAACTTTCTAGGGTGGGGCAAAAAAATCAATTAACTTTCCAGGGGGGAAGGGGAATTTTTATTTATGTTTTAATGTAGTTTTAATTTACTGTAGCATATTTGGGGGGGGGGGGGGGGGGGGGCAGCGGGCGCCCATGCCCACTTCCTATGCTTTCCAAGCTTGGTTTATTTGTGTTGTAGCACAAATCTATTTGTAGATAATTTACAACTTACTTCAATTAACATTTTATTTAATATTTTTAATGAGGACTGCTTTGACTTATCAGCATACATTAGCAATCTTTCCTGTGTTTACTTTCACAATTTGGCTAAAGGATATTCAGTTTTATATCCATGACCTTGATGATAAATGAATTGTTAAAGAGACTTGATGATAAATGAATTGTTAAAGAGACTTGATGATAAATGAATTGTTAAAGAGACTTGATGATAAATGAATTGTTAAAGGGACTTGATGAAATATGACTTATTAAAGAGACTTGATGATAAATGAAAAGAATTTCTTTAAATCCGACACAGCTTTAGTTTGTATGACCTATTTAGGATTAGTGCTAGTCAATGTTTGCATGAGCGATTCTGTTTGCTGGAATTTACCCCCTTTGTCACTACCATCTGCTGGTATTTATCCCCCTTTGTCACAACCATTTGCTGGTATTTACCCACCTTTTTCTGTACCATCTGCTGTTATTTATCCTCCTTTTGTGTCTACCATCAACTTGTGCAGGCTATTCACGTCCGTAAAGTTTGGTCACCGCCTGTAACCTCTGTTGCTTCCCCTTCCCCTACACTGCTGACAGCCAGGTCAGGAGCAGCTGTTCCTAGTAGTGATCCAGAGGTGAGTGGCTTGCATTTGTTTTCTGTCTGTTGCATCTGTTGACACCTGTATCAATCAGTTGAAAAAAAAAATTACTTCTTTGCTATTTGCCATTTTTTCATGTCTTAGTGTACATGTGGTAAGATAATTTACATTCATTGACACCATGCACTTTGGTGAAACTATGTACTTTGATAGCCCATGTTCTTTGGTAACCCTATTTACTTTGGTAACACTATGTACTTTGGTATCACCATGCACTTAGTTAATGGCATGTAGTTTGGAAATACCATGTACTTTATTTTGGCAACACCACCTTCTTTTGCAACACCATGTGCTTGGAAATCATGTATTTAAAAAAACAACATTTCATTTACATTGGAAATGTAAAAATTATTTTACGTACAAAATGAATATGTGATATAACAGAAAAACAACATCTTAACAATAAGAATATTTAGCATTGCATAACATCATTATATCACTATGATAGAATGCTTTTTAGCTGTGACAGATCACTTTTTAAAGACTCTCCAGCAATACTAATACATATCTCTATCACTGAACATGAATAAAAGGCTACAATTTTGGTAAATGATATAGAAATCAATGGTTAAGCAGGTGAAATGTCAATCTGAAATTATCTTGTATTGATTGCTGTTTAGTGTGCTAGCTTTTTTTAGCTATCCAATGTGAACATTTTTACAATGTCAAGTGTGCATTTATTTCAGCTGTTAAATAAAAAATTTAAAAATATCATGACATTTGCAAAAAATTTAAGTATAATCCTCAGACCTGTGATGAAATCATGCACATTATTCATAATGCTGGATTATGAACATGTAGAAATAAGAAAGTTAACAAATTACGATTCTGTTCTATTTACTGTTGATTTCATTTGTTTCTGTGAACAGCTGAAAAAAGCCTATTTTCGACAACTGGAGGAGATAAACAGCTTACATGAACAGCTACAGCTTAAAGACAGGCGAATACAACAGCTTGAGGCAGAACTGGCTCAGATGAGAGAACGTGATTCTGATCTACGACCAGGGGAGAGTAATTGTTGGTAGGTAGAATAAGGGGAGAAAATTGTTGATGGGTTATACAAGGGAGGTAATTGTTGTTTGAGACTAACAAATGGAAATAATTGTTGATTGTTAAAACAAAATAAATTTAAAAAATTTAAAGCCTAAAAACAATTTAAAAAAAAAAAATCCTTTTAATCCATTTTTTTTTTTTTGCATTGATGTTACAGACCTGTTTACTCTTACGATTTTGGCGTACAATGTATGATTTTGAGGTGTATGGATTGTATATACTGTATGTTTTTTTACTATGAATATAACGTATTAAATGACATTGTGATGATATTGTACGATTTTAGGAGTTTGAGGGTAAACAGGTCTGATGTTATGATAAGGGATTTTACGTTTATTAAGAAGTGGTTACATAAATGAGTAAAATTCTGGCAAAAACACATTTCATATGTCCTTCATTTTCCTCTTCAAAAATGCATTATATTTTTACTGCATACCCAAATATGTCACAACTACAAAGCACATAGCAACAACTATGCAATCAATCTCCACAGCAAAATGCAAATCCATTGAACATATCATAATTCATTCATCTACCCCTTAAAAAATAGGAAAAACTGATTCTTGGGGGTGGGGCTGAAAATTTGAAAGAATGTGTTATCATCATCGAGACTATTCCATAGATTTTCAGCATTTTAACTGAAATAGATTTTAAGTGTTTTAGCTGAAAGAGATTTGAAGTGTTTTAACTGAATATTCCCATGATGCACTTAGTTTTGTACATAATAAGCATAAAAAAAAAATTTGGCCACATCTCAATTAGTTGTAATTTAAGTAGAATATACACTTGCTGCATAGTAAAACTAAAATTGTATTTGTAGGTCATCAAAGTGGAACAAGAAATGTACAAAATATCTGCTTATATGTTACAGATCAATCAGAAACAGTTGACGTAAACAGGGAAGCCTAGCATTTCAACAGTTACAGTAACTAAATCAAAACACCAACTGTAGGGGACCTAAGTCAGCTCAATCTGCAAAGCTGGACATCCAAAGTTATTCAACTAGGGATAAAGAAAGTTGGTAAACCAATCTATTCTACACATAAACTTCATCAGAGTTATAGAACCTGGACTTATAAAGTATTCGCTCTATTACATAACCATATAATTACATAAATATATTTTCAAAGAGTTTAATGTAAGTATTTGGTTGGGTCAGAAATTCACCATCCAGATTGCTGTCAGTTTTCTCTTGATAGTCCTGTACACTATGAATGATGTATTTACAGAGACAAGTATTCACTTTTTCAATGGTATTGAATGGTTAGCAGCTAATACTAACATAATTATATATCAATTTGATGGTACTTAGTATGCTAGATGGCATCAGAATGCCATATCTACTAACATGATATGATGTTCTGTAGTTGGTAGTGACAAGACATGTTTTACTATCTAGAACAAAATCTATGCACTTTATGGTAATCTTAGTATTTATAGTCTCCATTGAATGATGTTTGTTGTGTCCCTTGAATGAACCTATGCAAGAGACTGTGCCCTGTTGCCACATGATACCTATGCCAGGTATGTTCATATATCTGCTCATAATTTTATTTTCATCATTTGATCATGTATTTTATTTTCATTTATTCGTCATATGTTTCTTTACTGATGTGGAAAAACTGACAGTTGAAGCTCGACATTTTGTGGCAATGTCTTGTTTTTTTCACTTTTTATTTTTTTTTTTACTCTTTTGTCCTCATAGGCTATATGAATAGACTATACCCAAAATGACTCTCCTAGTGCAACAGTTTGGATTTACATATTGTGAGTTTTCCCAATACAATCTGTCATAGGAATGAGATTTCAAATTTTTTTTAAAAACATTATTTAACAAACTACTTGCATGTCTGACAAATAAAAAGTTTTTGATAACAATTGGTCCATTTTGCTCTTCAAGAACAATTTATGAGTAAATGTATGAGGATATTACGTCAGTTAAATTTTAGAAAGCAATTGATGGTGAACAAATTAAAAAATGATCAATCATATTTTTTTATACAAATTTATGAGTGTACTGTCCAAATTATGTCCATTTTTATAGTCATTGTAAAAATATTATTTTTCTGTCTTACACTGATTTGAATATTTTTGTTTTTACCTATGTGATAATGTCCATGTTTTCTATATTTATAATGTTATCAATTAAGTACCACTCTCACTTGGTCAATGCTGGGACTGCTAATTGATTGGTGGGACTGCTGATTGATTGGTGGGACTTCTTATTTATTGGTGGGACTGCTGATTGATTGGATGGACTGCTGATTGATTGATTGGTGGGACTGCTGATTGATTGGTGGGGCTGCTGATTTATTGTTGGGACTGCTGATCGATTGGTGGGACTGCTGATTCATTGATTGGTGGGACTGCTGATTGATTGGTGGGACTGCTGTTGTTTTTTTTCACTTCAAACTTCAGATCTTAAACTTACTTTACACTCCACATAAATTCATCTAAGCAATTTTAACTAACTTACCTGATTTTTTTTTATTTTTAAAAGTGACTTATTAATAAATTGATTTGATTGTGTTTTTTACAAGTTAAGATTTATTTTAACTGATCCATGAACATTTTAAACTAAATAATTAGTTTTTATGCTGGTTTGAACTCTGCTTGTATATGATTTTAGTTATGTTGTTGAAAATGTTTGTTTCATTTCATTTGTAGCACTTAATTTGCTTGAAGTAAAGTGTGAAAGATGAAGGTTTTTATTTCATTGATCTGTAGCACTTAATTTGATTTAAGCATGGCGTGAATGAATATCGTTTTTGAGCACTTGTGGCAATGTAATGCCTTTTTTTTTCACCAGAGTAATATTTCTGTTGAAATGAGTCTTTCCTTAATTTATTGAATGAGTGTGTGTTGTATGACAGTAGTACCTTAATCATGTTAATTATCTGTGTCATGAACTTTTACACTTTGAACCTTGGCCTCTCTCAGATGAATGTCTCACATCTGTTTCTATATGTTGTTTGTGTATTAGAGCAGATTTAATTCTTTCCTCAACAGGTTGATCTTATCAGTAATTATTCTTTACAAATATTGGCACAACCTTCTGATAGGTCACTTTGACCTGTATCATTTTGAGCTGTTTGTTTCTTCTGTCCCACCTTATCCCAATGATAATATTAAAGTGTCCCACCACATTAATTTTATGACAATGATCTGAACTCAGTGTTTATTACAACCAGAATAGTTAAAAACTTGACATCTGACATGAGGTAAACATGACATCTGACATTCAATGACATTGTCTCTCACACATTCCATCATGTCCCTTGTACAACAGCAAACTTCCTTTTACTGAGTAACAGTCCCATACAGTTATAATTTCTTCGGTGTCTTTAAAGACACCCCAATTGGTTATTGAGCACCCCAATTGCCTTTGACCACACACACAATAATAATTTGATGTGTTTCTCTGGTTGTGCCTTCTGTAAGCCTATTTCTTGACATTCAATATATACATTTAATTGACTCAAAAGGGCTGCTTTTATTTCTTCATCTTACCAAAGCTTGAATCTGGAAGAACATTGATGGTAAGAATTAAATTAAAATAATGAAAAGAGGTTCACAGACCTAATTTAATATATTAATAATGATGGTCAAAAGTATGATCAGTCTTTTCCAGTTACATGAAATGGTAAGAGAGTACGATAAATAGATATATTTCAATATGAAATTATGTTAGTCATTCAGTTGTATTATCTTACATTTTCAAGGGATATCACAAGTTAACAACTAATAGTGCTCTGACTAACAATCTTTTAGTATGAAATTATGTTTGTCAGTCATATTATCATTATTAGTACTATGAAGAAACTTTAGTTTGGTGTGACAATATCTAGAAATTTACTGTTTTTCCCATTAATGTTGCTTACATCAGACTAATTCAATTGCCTTTATTAAAATGAACATGACATCTTGACATGAAGTACAAACATGACATCTGACATGAGGTAGAAATGTGACATCTTGACACAAGGTACAAACTGGACATCAAATCTACTGCTGATGTATTTGTTATTATTAAGAAACTTATCTATTGGCATTTTATTTTGAAGACTTTAAAAGACAGAGTTTATAGACGCTGCCTTTATTTTGATGCACTTATCTTATTCATTTTTTAAACACCTATGCAATGTTGCTGGATTACTATCTGGTCTAATTTATCTGGTTCTACTTCTTTGTAGTTTTATATGAGAAATATTTTCTTCTTTTTCAAACAGGTCTTTACTTGATCATGATCACATTAGTGTCTTGATTTGAAGTGTATGTTATTTTAAAATACTTTCAAGACATGAACTTTTGAACATTTGATCTCGTTTATAGTTACGCACTGACAGTTAAAGGACGTGCTGCTTTTTGTGTGATGTGCTTCCCTTTTTCTTGATGAGCTTTCATTTTTAGGGATGTCCTGTCATTTTTATGTTGGGCCATCACTTTTAGTGAAGTGCTTTAATTCATTTTAATGGTGTGATGTCATACTAGGGATGTCCTGTCATTTTAATGGTGTGATGTCATACTAGGGATGTCCTGTCATTTTAATGGTGTGATGTCATACTAGGGATGTCCTGTCATTTTAATGGTGTGATGTCATACTAGGGATGTCCTGTCATTTTAATGGTGTGATGTCATACTAGGGATGTCCTGTCATTTTAATGGTGTGATGTCATACTAGGGATGTCCTGTCATTTTAATGGTGTGATGTCATACTAGGGATGTCCTGTCATTTTAATGGTGTGATGTCATACTAGGGATGTCCTGTCATTTTAATTGTGTGATGTCATACAAGGGATGTCCTGTCATTTTAATGGTGTGATGTCATACTAAGGATGTCCTGTCATTTTTATGTTGGGCCATCACTTTTAGTGAAGTGCTTTAATTCATTTTAATGGTGTGATGTCATACTAGGGATGTCCTGTCATTTTAGTGGTGTGATGTCATACTAGGGATGTCCTGTCATTTTAATGGTGTGATGTCATACTAGGGATGTCCTGTCATTTTAATGGTGTGGTGTCATACTAAGGATGTCCTGTCATTTTAATGGTGTGATGTCATACTACGGATGTCCTGTAATTTTAGTGTTGGGCCATCACTTTTAGTGAAGTGCTTTAATTCATTTTAATGGTGTGATGTCATACTAGGGATGTCCTGTCATTTTAATGGTGTGGTGTCATACTAAGGATGTCCTGTCATTTTAATGATGTGATGTCATACTACGGATGTCCTGTCATTTTAGTGTTGGGCCATCACTTTTAGTGAAGTGCTTTAATTCATTTTAATGGTGTGATGTCATACTAGGGATGTCCTGTCATTTTAATGGTGTGATGTCATATTAAGGATGTCCTGTCATTTTAATGGTGTGATGTCATACTAAGGATGTCCTGTCATTTTAATGGTGTGATGTCATACTAGGGATGTCCTGTCATTTAAAGGTTGGGGCATCACTTTTAGTGAAGTGCTTTAATTCTTTTTATTGGTGTGATGTCATACTAAGGATGTCCTGTCATTTAAATGTTGAGGTATCACTTTAAGTGAAGTGCTTTAATTCTTTTTAAGTGGTGTGATGTCATACTAAGGATGTCCTGTCATTTAAATGTTGGGGCATCACTTTTAGTGAAGTGCTTTAATTCTTTTTAAGTGGTGTGATGTCATACTAAGGATGTCCTGTCATTTAAATGTTGAGGTATCACTTTAAGTGAAGTGCTTTAATTCATTTTAAGTGGTGTGATGTCATACTAAGGATGTCCTGTCATTTAAATGTTGGGGCATCACTTTTAGTGAAGTGCTTTAATTCTTTTTAAGTGGTGTGATGTCATACTAAGGATGTCTGTCATTTTAGTGGTGTGATGCCATACTAAGGATGTCCTGTCCTTTTAGGGGTGTGTCACTCATTGTTGATTTGATCTCTTATTGTCATTTTTATTATTGTGATTTCATTAGAATTATTTATATCTCAGTTGCCGTCAGTGTCATATTGTCCTAGTTCCTGTCAGAGTCATATTGTTGTTGTCAGTTGTCTATGTTGTGTTATTGCACACAGGGTAAGCTCATATACTGTAGTAGATCATTGGGCTTAGTTTTTTTTTTCTTTTCTGAATTCCTTGTTGTGTACTGGCCACTTAATTGGGGACATGTTAGCTGCCTGTTATGCCCTGAAACTTCCCTGTAACCTTCATTTCACATCTCTGTGACTTCCTGATGACTTCCCTGGGACCTTCACTTGACTTCCCTTTCTAAGTTAAATTTGGTAACAAATACTACTGCTGCCATGAAAATTGGTAATTATAATTGTACCCCAAATTTATTTCCCCTTTTTCCATGCACACATCTTTATGTTTGCCCATGCACCCCTCCCACAAGTTTATTTGCCCCCCTTCCCCATACACATTTTTCCAAATGTACTGGTTAGGTCTTAATGATCTCTTCATTAGTTGTCTCATCTCAGTTTGCTTGATGAAGTTACTCAAGCACTGTGCTGAACTGACTTAAACACTTGCTAACACATGCACATTTGTCTTTTGTAAAATTGTCTCATTAAGGTGGATGCTAGATCTGGTCACATGGTCTTGAAGTATTCTCCCAAATGTCATCTGACAGTTTTATCTTTGAAAACTAGCAAATTCATATATGTAAGTATGTATGTGCACCTTGTTTAGATGAAATAAATATTCATACATATGTCTGTACAACTTATGCATCTAATTGTGCCAGACCTGTCCACATCCAATACCAATGTACAATGAACACATCTATGAGAATAGAACAACAATAATTGCCCACCTTCAGTGAGTTATTTGGACCTGCAAGTGAGATGTCATTTGGTGGGCAGATTAAGGAGATAAATATACTTGCTCATTTAGTGGGCACGTTGAAAAGGCATACTGGTCATTTTGTTGGTGCATTGAATGGATGTACTTGGTCATTTGGTAGGCATATCGAAAAGATGTATTTAATCATTAATGGGCACATTGAATTTATAGACTGACCTCTTTCTGGCCCCTTTAAATGGATACAAATTCCAAAAGAACTTTACATGTGGGATCCATGTACTGGACACCAGAAGATAAGATGCAGGGTAGAGACAAGATGCACACTTAAGAAAAATGTTGACCAACAACTTTCAAAAGTACAATATCCTTATATTTTATCTGAGTAGTGGGATGTTGCAAGTCTCATGTGAGCAGCTGTACCATTTGTTAGTCTCATGTGAGTAGCTGTACCATTTGTTAGTCTCATGTGAGTAGCTGTACAATTTGTTAGTCACATGTGAGTAGCTGTACCAGTTGTTAGTCTCATGTGAGTAGCTGTTCCACTATCACCAATGACAGACTATGAAAGTCGGCATGTAACAACCCAATCTCCTCATTATCTCACCAATGACAGACCAGACCGGGGGTTATCTCATTGCTCAATCCCCTCTATTTCATTTAGACACATTTTAGACATCAGCACTGAATGGAAAGATCATTTTGGGGCATATTAATATTATACCAGATGATTTGATGATGACCAGTTAGTTGGTATTTGTGGCAAGGAAAAATTGACCCCACTGACACCAATGCAGCAGTGACCAGCAGAAAACGTATATTATCATCTTGTGCCTTTCTGTCTACCACTGAGTACCAGTCTGATTTGTTTACATCCTGTTGGTTTGATTTTGGTTTCTATGTAATTCTCATGATGGATTTTTGGCAGACATTCCTATTTTCCCACGTAGTTCCCAGCAAAAGTTTATTTCGATAGAAAAATATATTTCTAATCATCTATAAGTGCGATAAAGAACAGATTCCCTCAAATATAGGTTTATGCAGAGGTAGATGCACTGAAAGATAGGTGTACTTAATTATAGAAGCATTCATTTCTATGTGCACAAAATTAAAGCTGAACCATATGCTATAGGTGCATTCAAAGGAAGATGCATGCAAAGATAGGTGCATCCAAAGATAAGTGCATTCAAAGATAGGTGTTCCGAAATGAAAGATATACTCAATAATACACAATAGGTAGACAGAAATATTGGTTTCTTGTCTTCAAATGGTTTTACTCATGACTTACTGAGATATCTAATTGTTTTGCAGAAACTTATTTTTTTTGCTGATGCCCCTTTGTTTTGCTGAGTTATTGCTGTCTTTTAAGTTCCAATATTTTTTAAAATGCCAAAAATTGCCCATTTATTCCATGACAAAACAATTTTTTCATATCACATCTGAACTATGTGTGTATCCCATCTGACCCATACATGTTTCCTATCTGACCCATGTGTGTATCCCATCTGACCCATGTGTGTCTCCCATCTGACCCATGTGCACATCCTGACAGACCAAATTAAAAGCCCATCAGATGAAGGATTTAAACAAAAGATTTCAATAAAACTTCCTTGAAAGGTTTCTGATGAAGTCTGAGACTGAGTGTATATCATATTAGTGCTATCCTAGTGTTTTGAATGACCCGATCTTGTCTCCTTACCATTACAACCTTATTTGTCACCATCTATGGGATTATTCGCCTCTATATTTTATCTAATTATTTTGAAAACCTTAACCTGCCAATGTTAAAAAGAAGCTTTAATAAAAACAAATATGCTGTCCTACACCAAAGGGTTCATTGTTTCTGTTCCAAAGGTACAATGTTGGTTTTTATCGTGTTTACCTTACATTGACATTTTCTTATTTATTCTATACCATACCTCTTATAGTCTGTCTTCTGTATACCTGACCTTTTCTTGTCCATCTATTATAACTGACCATATCTATCTATTGCATACCTGTACTTTTCTTGAAAATCTTTGCATACCTGACCCTGTCTTATCTGTCTATTGTATACCTGACCTTTTCTTTTCTGTCTGTTTTTTACCTGACCTTTTCTTTTGTCTACTTCATAGTAGACCTTAACTTGTTAATTGTATACCAGACCTTATATTGCGAGTATATTTTACCTTGTATTGTATACCTGACCTTTCCTATCCTGTGTATTTGAAACATGATTTTTAGTATATCTCTAACATGTATGAATTCACTTATCTTGCCTGCCTACTGTAAACCTGAATTAATTTATTGACATTAACAATATACTCTGACCACCACAGTAATGATCAACATACTCTGACCACCACAGTAATGGTCAACATACTCTGACCACCACAGTAATGGTCAACATACTCTGACCACCACAGTAATGGTCAACATACTCTGACCACCACAGTAATGGTCAACATACTCTGACCACCACAGTAATTGAAATTTTTATTATCTGGATACAGTGGCGAAGCTGAGACTAGAGCCACCCGGGACGGGGTAAGAGAAAAAAATATCCGCCCCCACCCCTACGAATTATTCTGCAGTTGGCCAAACACGCCACCCCTCAATATATAGGAAGAAAAGTGCCCCCGGTGCGAACAGCCCCCCCACTCCCCCCCCCCCCCCCCCCCCCCCCCAATATATAGGAAGAAAAGTGCCCCCGGTGCGAACAGCCCCTCCCCCCCCCCC